CTTGGCTGTCAGATAGAATGTAGATGTTCCTATTTCTATAGTTCCTATCTAAATTCTCCATAATACATGCTTTAATGGCATATACTTCTGCCTGGAATACTGTCGTGTACTGCCCAAGGCTGAAACTAAGTTTCCGCCTCGTGCCATGACAGTGCACACCAGCTCCAGTGCCCTTGTTTGTCTTGGAACCATCTGTATACCAGACCAGTCCCCCTTTTCTATCGGGCTGAAACCCGTCTTCCCATTCACTCCTGTTAGGAAATCTGACTGTGAAGGGTTTTTCATATACATGTCTCAGTATCATTTTGTCAGACCCCATTTGAAATATGGGTTCTTTTTTCATGTCCTGAGTCATGTATGCATGGCCAAAACCATCAGATCTAGGTTTCCATTGTTCACTGCACTGAAGACGGTAAATTCCTACCCTGGCCTCTGCATCCAACTGTACATGCAGTGGGGGGGAGTCCAAGGAGTATCTCCAGTGCATCTGTTGGAGATGTTCGAAATGCTCCTGTGATACCTAAGCAAGCCAACCTTTGCAATTTGCTAAGTTCTGTCTTGCTTGTCTTGAGTTTAACTCTGGGCCACTTTACTGTGGCACCATAAGTAATTATGGGTCTTACAACCGCAGTGTATGTCCAATGTATAACGTGTGGCTGCAGTCCCCAAGTTTTACCAGACATGCTTCTGCATGTCCAAAAAGCCTTATAGGCTTTGTTAATGACTTTGTCCAGCTGCTTTTTCCATGTCAGTCCCTTGTCTAATTCTAGACCAAGGTACTTGACATCACTGGAGAGCTGGATTATCTTGTTGAAGAGAGTCGGTTCCTTAAGTCCCTTTATATTTCTCTTCCTAGTAAACGGTATAATGACTGTCTTATTGGGATTGATGGAAAGACCTGTTCTTTCACACCATCGTTGGACCATGTGCAGAGCTGTTTGAAAATGCTCTGATATGGTCGAAAGGAATTTTCCATTTATGAGGATTGCATATCCTACTGTATAATACCCATCATCATTAAGTCCCCACAGGAGATCATTGACGACCAGACTCCACAGCAGAGGCGAAAGTACACCCCCCCTGTGGACATCCCCTAGACACGGACGTACCCAGGGTTTCTCCTGATAATGTAGCAGCTATGGTTCTGCTTTCCAGCATAGCATTGATCCATCTGCATATTGCAGGCTCTATGCCATGCCTTCCAGCAGCATGTTTGATTATATCAAATAAGGTTTTATCAAAAGCTCCCTCCACATCAAGGAATGCTCCTAAGGCAATATCCTTGTGTTCAATCGCACTTTCTATGCGTGCTACCATATTGTATAGTGCACTTTCGGTAGATTTACCCGTTTGGTAGGCATGTTGGTTTCAGTGTAGAGCAGGCATGTCAAACTCAACTTGTACAGAGGGCCACCTCAGCCCTATAAATAATAGTCCAGGGCCGCACTTCAAAATAGAACTATACATTAGATTTTGATACAAGGAAATTTAATTCTATTTATTATTTAGGAATAATTTCAATATAATTACCTAAAGTCACATATCTTACAGTTTTAAAAGCAAGAGAATGCCATTTTTGACAAGTATCAAACAGCTTTTCAATATGTAACAAGAGAGATTACACAAGAAATTATGTTAGAAATAGCAAAACATTGAATTTCCTGCAGCCTGCTAATTTATGTCTGCGTGAGACTTCTTGTCTTCTGGTCTGCTGGAAAATTGTCTTTACAAAAAATATTTCTACTAAAATTTTAATATTGATTTTAATATCAATTAGCTCTAAAAGTTGAGGGGCCGCACTTTGTGGCTGTGGGGGCCGCATGTTTGACACAGCTGGTGTAGAGGATATGTCCTCAATACCCCGTGCCTGATATGCCTATCCACTAGTTTCTCCATCATTTTCAACAAGAAAGACGACAGGCTGATAGGACGATAAGCCTTAGCCTCGGTATAATCAAGTTTCCCGGGCTTTGGAATAAACGTCACCTTAACTTGCCTCCAGGCTGTGGGGATGAAACCATATGCTATGCAGGCTCTATATATGCAGCATAGGGGTGGAACTAAAAGTTCCGCCCCATGCTGCAAAAGTGCCGGTATAATCCCATCTGTTCCCGCTGATTTAAATGGTCTAAAGTGTTCAGTGCCCATCTTATTTTTGATTGATTAATTATGACGTTGGCCAGGTTCAAGTCTACCCTGTTCGTCTTGCTTTGGCAAGTGTCAAGGTTTTGCTGACCCTGCCCATCGTCCAAATTGTCAATCAATTTTGAATCAGGAAAGTGAACTCTGAATAATTCATTCAGTGTCTCCCTTCCTATTTGAGTATACTGCCCGTTAGGCAGCTTAATTGTGCTGACCTTGTTGGTCGCCTGTTTTGCCATGGTTCTCATGAGTCTGGCACCACCTGGTACATCATTGACCTCCTGGCAGTGCCTCCTCCATGATGATCGCTTGGCTTTCCTTATTTCTTTGTTGTAACAGATAAGGGCTTCCTTGTAGGTGTCCCACTGTCCTGTTCTTTTAGCTGTATTGAACAGCCTTCTTGTTTTGATCCTAAGTCCACTCAGCTGTTTATTCCACCAAGGCATTCTCCTTGGTCCGCGAGTGGTCTTAGCCGGACAATTCTGATTAAAGGACGAGATAACAGCCTGTTGCAACTGGTCAACAGACCAATCACCGTCCTTTATTGTGCGTATATTACGTGAGAATGTCTCTAGATTTTCCTTTAGGTCAGCTTTGTAAGACTTCCAATTGGTTCTCTTAGGATTCCTATAAGTAGCTTGATCTACTGTAATGTTACTTATTTTAAAGCATGTATATCAGTGATCCGATAGGGACGGCTCATCAGATACATGCCAGTTACTTACCAGGTTTCCTATGTTATTTGTCCCTAGTGTCAAATCAATAACCTCCTTCCTATTGCAAACCACAAAGGTAGGTTCGTTACCATGGTTTAGAATATTAGGTTCAAACTCACTAGAAATTCCGTAAGGCTCTCTCCCCTTGGGTTAGTGCCAGTGCTCCCCCACAAGATGTGGTGCGCATTGGCATCACACCCAATGATGAGTTGCTTTTTCCTGCTAAAGCAGTAGTCTGTGATGTCCCTCATTTCCTTAGTTGGCGGTGGTTCATCCGAGTCATATGGAAGGTAGACTGAAGCAACAATCAGCTCCTTGCTGCCTTCTCGATATGGGTATGTTATCCTTACCGCTGTTGTATCCCTAGAACAAAGCTCCAGCAAAGGCAAGGCACCAACATGATTCCTGATATAAACACAAGATTGTGCATTATTACTGGGTACAGCAGAGTAAACTGTTCCCCCTGTATTAGTTAAGCCCCTTATTTGACCCTTGTATATCCAAGGTTCCTGAATAAGTGCTATATCTGTCTTACCCTCAGCTAGCTGTTGGCACAGAGCTGCCGTGTAGGTTGATCTGAAGAAATTTCGTGATCTCTTCCAATTGAGGAGGGGTCAATTTCCATCTTATGTCCCTCTCCGTTCTCGGACTGGGTTCTGTGTGAAGGGGTCCCCTGATCCGTTTTGCTTTGGTCATCCGGGGGCCTGAGTACTTCATCCCCTTCCTCCTTGGAGACCGAGTTAGAAGATACGACGATACAGTGTCTGTCACGGGTTCTACCCGGCGCTGAATTTCAGGATCATCCAGCACCTTAACAGTCCCCTGTGAGAGTCCTGTAAATATTTTGTAACCGGTCCTCTGTATAATAGTATGGGAGTCCCAGTCTATGAATAAGATAAGCCTTTGGCCTTTCAATTCAGATTGCTTGTCTAGTACCCTCCAGATCTCTGTATGAAGTCCCGGATTAAGGTCTGCAATCCATTTCAGCAGCTCTTCCTGGTTTTGGGCAATTTTGTTCCTAGTCTGGAGAGCTACTGTAACAGGCTACTGGAATCAGTAGCCTTCAGCCTGGTCCCTGATTTGATGACCAGACTGTTGGTCGGCACATATATAGATAAGTGCACCTCCCAACAGTCTGTAGGATTTCAGGTGTGGTAGTTCTTCTTTTGGAGTCCTACGTAACACCTCGCCCAATGTTTCCAGAATGGAATTTTGGTCGTTTTCGGTAAGCTTATCCTCAGGGTAAGTTTCCTTGAAGATAGCTACCTTTATATTGGTCAGAGCCTCCTTGTAAGTCCCTGGTTCTTTATAGTCCCTGGGCTTTTTCAGAGTTCTGGCCATTTCTGTAGGGGTACTGCCCTCTGACCTTGGCCTCTTAAAGGTGCCGGTGGGGGTTTCTCCCTGCTTGGATGAGATTGCATTTCCTGGTTGCTGACTACTCCCAGTTCCTGCTTTGCTTGTCTCAGCTTTTGCCTTTTTTAACTTCCGTCTGGCGCATCCAGACAAAGCTTTCTTCGCCAGAGGGGGTCCACCTACTCCAGAGCCCAGGTGTCCCAGTCTTTCCCCTGCTGCAGGTATGTTAGAAGTACTGGCTCCCTGCAGTGGTGTGTCAGTACTGCCGACCCCCAGGAGAGTAGTTTTTAGTTTTGTTTCTGGCAAGTTTTGAATCACTGGTTCATCCTTGCCTTTGGCTGAAATTTCAACAGCAGGTTCGCCGGTTGCAACTGGGCCCCGTAATGGTTCACCAGAGCTTCCAGCTCCCTGCTGAAGCATTTCTCGTAGGGATCCCCTTGAAGGGGGGTCCCTCTTCAGTTTATGGTCCTTGCAACCGGTTTTTGATTTGGTTCCCTTTTTCATTTCGGTCCCACGAGTAATGGGGATTTAAAAGGTCACCACCCACAGAGCCCCATACATGTGGAAGGAATAAATACAATGGGGTGCTGCCTGATGCCCCGAGTGGATCGTACGCAACACTGGCCAATAACCACCCCAGTGCCATGCAGCCCTCGGCATGATGCGTCACACCTTGGCTTAGGGAGTTTGTCCATAAATATAACCCTCACAAGCCTCCAGGACCTAGAATGCATGTTTGGGGGGAGAAGGGTATCCCAGATGATAAATGGGAGTGCGATACTAATTGTCATGAGGTTGCTACCAGGGCATCATACACGAGATTATCGCCCCTGGAGCTTGCTTCAGAGCTCCCCCATTCCTGCCCCTACACATTGGTTGGTCAAAACCATTTTAGAGTGTTGAGCCCTAAGGCTTGTGGCACCTTATCGGTACTCTAGGGAGACAACTGAAATAGCCGTAGCTACCCCCATAGGAGTGCTCTCCCGCATTCGTCCTGGGTACATTGTAATGAAACCCAAGAGTCATTATGCCGCTGCGTGGGAGGCTCTGGTCAGATAGCCATTGCCCTTTATGGGAACTTGGCTGCCTGCCCCAGAAGCTCATGCTAATGCAGACCCCCAAGACTGTTGCTGCCCAGCAGGACTACGAGGAGGTGCTCCAAAGCTGTGTCTCAACGCATCCCTGGTCTATGATACGTCCCCACCAAAGACACAGCCACTCTGCCGACCATTGAGATAAGGAATAGCTCTCTTGATTGGACCCAGCTGAGTCAGTTCCACCTAAAAATGGAGACTGCATCCAGTTTCTGAAATGCTGGTGCTTTAAATAAAACAGGATGATGGATAATGCCCAGAGACAGAATAATTGTATTAATATACCATCGTGTACAAACTTTTAGAGCTTATTTATTTGTCCAAATCAAATGCCTTCAGTTGTGGATTTAGTTTCCTTAATTTGCCCTGAATCCTTCAGTCAGATTTTGCTTTTCATTCATGACAGAGCCATATTTAGTAATATGAAGTCCATATCTGGGCTTGAATTTGCAAAACTCCCAGAAACATGAGAGAGTAAAGTAACAGTCGTGAGTTCCATGTGACCCAGAACCAAGAATGACTGTGTTGGTGAGGATGGCAGAAATTTCCCCAGTTGACTGGAGAACTGAAGTGTGGATCTTATGAATTAACCTGATACCAAGATAGAAAATGATGTTATGTTATAGATTTGCACGTTGCAAGTTGCTGGGGAGAAAGTTGTGCCAGACTTGCCACATGCATTTGAATGCTGCTGGCAAACCTGTGAAGAAACATTCAGCAGTCCCCAGCTGTACTTCAACCATGTTGACGTTCATGTCTATTGCAACCCACGTGGTAGAAAAGTGGAAGGAGGTATTCCTTGCCAGTGGTGTGGTGAGTTCTAATTTCCATCACATGAATTCTCACCACAATTTATGTTAGCTGCATGCCACATGTGCATGCATGGCTGTTGCTCTAGCCAGGAGGATGGCAGTCACCTGTTTTTGCATGTCACAGCATATTTGGAATCTTATCATGAATATATATATATATGTAAGTAAGTCCATAATTATCCACAATGTAGCTATAAATTTTATTTCAATACAAATAGAAAACTTACATTAACATCATTTTTCAACATAGTCCCCTTGCTTTTCAATTCACTTGGTCCATCGTTGCACAAGCTTCCTGATGTCCTCAGAAAAAAAGGTTTTCGGCTGAGCAGCGAGCCAAGCATGCACCGCTTCCTTCACTTCTTGGTCCAATGTGAATCGACGGCCCCTTAATGCCTCTTTGAGTGGACCAAACAAGTGGTAGTCAGAAGGGGCGAGATCAGGACTATACAGAGGATGAGCCATTACATCAAACTTGAGTTTCTGGAGGGTTTCAGCAGTGTGGGCAGCAGTATGTGGACAGGCATTGTCGTGCAACAACACAACACCTTTCGACAGTAGTCGTCGGCGTTTGCTTCAAATTGCAGGCTTTAGCCTGTCAGTAAGCATCTCACTGTAACGAGCACTGTTTATTGTTGTGCCCCTCTCCTGATAATGTTCCAGTACTGGGCCTTGTGAGTCCCAAAAAACTGTAAGCATCAGTTTTCCTGCGGATGGTTGGCTTTTGAACTTTTTCTTGCTGGGCGATTGTGGATGTTTCCATTCCATACTCTGCCGTTTACTCTCCGGCTCGCAATGATGGATCCATGTTTCGTCACCAGTGATGATTCTGTCTAAGAAAATGTCACGTTCGTTACCATAGCGATCCAAATGTTGTTGGCAGATGTCCAAGCATGTTTGTTTATGCAACACTGTGAGTTGTTTTGGGACCCATCTTGCACAGACTTTATGAAACCCAAGTCTGTTGTGGATGATTTTGTAGGCAGAACCATGACTAATTTGCAGACGATTTGCCACTTCATCAGTAGCCACTCATCTGTCTAACAGAACCATGTCACGTGCACGCTCAATGTTGTCCTCATTTGTGGCCATGGATGGTCATCCAGCTCCTTCCTCATGCGTAACACTTGTGCGACCATTTTTTAATTTTTCAATCCATTCGTAGACACTCCATTGTGGCAAAACACTGTTCCTGTATTGTGCTGAAAGTCTTTGATGGATTGCAGCCCCTGATACACCTTCCGACCACAAAAACCGGATCACTGAACGTTGCTCTTCTTTGGTGCAAACAGAAAGCGGAGCAGCCATGATTAACGGCAAGGCAGCGATGATGGAACTGACCTAGCAAGATCAAACCTGCGCAGAAATAATGACAAGGAAACCACACATGGTGATGCTGCGCAAAATGACAGTGCTGCTAACAGAAACACAAATACAACTGCATTGCGGATAATTATTGACTTTCCCTCGTATATATATATATATATCTTCTCAGTTTTAGGTATCTGAAGGCTGTAGTTAAAGTGCTAATGTTAGCTATGAATACAGACAGAGTTATCTGAAGAAGTTAAAATTTAAAGGAGAAAGATACTGCATGTACGTCTGTCTTTTATGCATGCCTCCGCAGATGATGTGTATCACAAAATATGTGATAATTATGCTAACTGGAGCAACACAAACATGCAAAGTAATTAAATGAACAAAAATACTGTTAACTAATAATATTAATGCAACAGGATTCTTAAGTACAACATTCCTTCATATATTTCTCTTTAACATATATGTGGTAGAGTCATTAAGTTCGTGGAATGTGGTTTTATCGCATCATATTACAAGGTATTCATATACACTTACCCAGATCCACATCGGCCCTCAAAATAGTTGCCGTTGGCCGCTATGCAAGCCTGCCAACATTGATATAGCTGTTGAAAACATTGCAGAAACATATTGGCAGTAAATTCCTGTATGACACTTTGCAGCCATTCCATGAACTTATTGACTGTGGCAGTATAATTACTGCATTTTATCAGGCTTCAATAAATAACTGTAACACAACTAAAGTACAGTGTCATATTCATAAGGAAATTTAGATATTGCTCAACAGGTGTGCAAAGAGATTAACTTTGATACTGAAATGTAAACTTTTTCATGTTACAGGTTGCATGTCCAAGTCTACCTACCGAACGGTATACAAGCTGTTAGACCACATTAGAATCCATATAAAGGAGAAACTTGTGGGGTGTCCACAATGTGGTGGGCTCTTTGCAAGCAGGGCAAGATTCGGTTACCACTGCAAGCATCAGGTTCCCGTAGAATGTAAGTTATAGATCTTGCCGCGCGCGCGCACGCACGCACACACACACACACACTTGACAGTGAAGGTTTAAATTTAAGATAGTGTTTTAGAGCAGATGTATATTTCTTTAAGTTTGGAACTGCATGATATGTTTTTACCATGTGCAGCACTGTTCACTATATGATGGTGTGATTTGTTGCAGTGCGAGGTCCGTCTGTGGAAATGGCGAAGAACCAAATGAATAGGCAACGCCACAAATGCCCCTTCTGTGGCCAGTCTTTCTCCTGTCCATCAAGCCTTTGTTTGCACATTCGGTACAGGCACCCAGATAGCAAGCCGTTCAGATGCAGCTTTTGTGAATATAAGTGAGTAGAAGCCTCCTCCTTCTCACACTGAGTGACTGAGCTAGTTGGCTCAGATGGCAGTATTTCTGACTCTTAATTAAGAGGTACTTGGTTCTAATCTCAGCTAGAACACCACCTTTTCTGGTTGTCTTTTTCACGGTTTTCTTAGACCCTCCAGGAAAATGCTGGGATGCTACCTCAAATTAGACCATTACAACTTCCTTGCAAATCACTTCCACTTCATTATCCAGTTACTGTTCTACTGTTTGACAGAATACAGTCAGATATTTATAGCATTATTAATGTCACAAGATCGGGACCACACAGTAATTCTAGTAACTGCGAGAGTAGGTTTAGCCAAAGGTCGAAAGTCAGGATCACCATTTGTGCTATCTTGACGACTGCGATGTCTGCAGCGTTGGAGTGTCACGGAGTAGATGTTGACATTATGATATCCATGGCGACACTGAGGTACAGGCCAGCACCAACACCATTATATCAGCCTCCTTCAGTGTGACGATGTCGTCAGATACGCCGAGAATGAGGAGCAGTAAAGACTGCTGCTCCCATCCTGAAGGAAAACGGGGATCTTCTTCTCTGTTTGGACTACAAGGAAGGGGCTGACGTCACTAAGGATTCTGTTTCCTATAATCAAGTATTGGCGACTCCTGAGCCCGAGTAAAGGGATTGTCTATTGTGGACTTCAGGAGTGGCTACTGGCAGGTGGCTGTACCTTCCAAGAACAGAATTCAATGTTCCCTCTGGGCCAAGGGTTATGGCAATTTAGGTGCTTGCACTTTGGCCTCTGGAGAGCTCGAGGGACTGTAGAGAGGTTGATGGAGGCTGTCTTGCGGGGACTCAACAAAATGTATCTACAAAATGTATCTGGTCGACGTGATGGAGATCGGCCCAAATTTCAGGGAAGAGCTCAACAACCGGAGGAAAGTATCCCAACGGTTCCAAGAGGGCCACATTACACTTAACCTGGAAAAAGGCAACCGTTACGGAAAAAGGTACGATTCCTTGGGCATATTCGTAGTAGTAGTAGTAGTAGTAGTAGTAGTAGTAGGAGGAGGAGGAGGAGGAGGAGGAGGAGGGGTTCCAGTCATAGTAGTAGTAGTAGTAGTAGTAGTGGTAGTAGTAAATAAAGCCATAGTAGAAAATAGAGAATGAGTAATATTTTCTTTAGAGCATTGTCACGATTTAGTAGTGTGTGTGACTAAAGACGGGGCTATGAATTGGATATTAGATGTATTGACCATTTTCATAAACCCCCCGGAACTACACTTTACCCATCACTGACACACACAGACTAGTAATCTCAGTATATCATAGTCTCCACTAGCCGTTTCTTGGTAACAGATTTAATACAGTGGAGATTCTTCAGTTTCCCCTACTCAGGTTCTCAGAGCCGCCAGTGTAGATCTCTTGTCAACTGTCAACTTATCTACAGCGCTGTCTCTTCTCAGCGTCCCTTGCATAGCTCGACTCAATCGACAACCCTCAATTGATTGGTCGCAGACTGACGACCGTTTCACACAAATCTCCTAGATTTCTCTTCACAAGCTGGCTCTCAAATGAACTGCCTCACCCTGGGGATGTCATCATATAGCCCAGGGGCGTACCCAAGAGAAAAAACTCCCCTTTCCACTGTAGCTCTATTGTTGTATGTGTCTCGTTTCGTCGAGGACGTCTTTACCGAACTGCTGCTTAGAAACAGCTTGCATATCCCCGTTGTTCTATTGTTGCCTTCGTGTATGTTGAGGGGTTACATAGTAACGATCACTCTTTATAGAGTTACTGTTTAGCAAGAGATCTATAGGCACAGTATGGTCCCGTATTGTAATATTTAACTTGCCATATAGTACAAATTCCTGTAGCAGCTCAGTTGGTTAAGGTATTTCACGCCTTTTCAGGAAGGTTAAAGCTCATTATCGTGTTCACGACAAATTCCCACTGGGTCTTATGTAAAACCAATTGAATCTTATTTATAGGCGCCCATGTTCTTATTAGAGTCGTAGATTGTAAATGGCACTGATTGGTGTGCATAACATAGAATTCCTGGAATTTTGGACTTTGATCATCGTCCGATATTCTAAAGTCTGCCAATATAACTACAGCCATATAAATAGTGTCATGAGTATCAGTAACTAAAGACGGGGTTTGGATTGGTAATGAAGTTTATTAACGCCTTATACAATCAACTTGTACTTACAGGCAATACAGCGCTACCGCTGATGTACACAGTTCACAGTTCACAGTTATACACGCACAAGGATTTTCATTCTTCACTAGTCGTCTCCTGGTAACGGAATTAAAACTATCTCACTGTGACTAAATCTTTTAATCACACACCAAGTCTTTACAGGTCGAGTTATTATTCTTCCCGTGGCTATATCCTACAGAGAACTCTTTCGTATTGCCAACGGTCTTCAAGATAACTCATCTGCACAGACCCCACGGAAAACACGGCCTCTATTGTTGCGTAACCAAGACCACATTAAAAAAAAGTCACGTAATATCTAAGTACTGTTGGAGTGTGACGTCATTGCGTCTGAGCGGAAATGTGTTTACGGAGCCGTTGCCTGGAAGTGGGTTGCATAACTCCGTTGTTACATTGTAGGTGTGTGTATAATTGCGGGCGTTGTCTGGCAGTGAATTTACATGTAACAATATTGTGACGCATAATGAGGAACTGGACATTGTGGAGAGGTCGTTCCCTACGAAACTATAAAAGAGATCGCACGCGGATGAGAGCCGGAAATGTTGGAGCACTGGCCAATCTAGGCAGTTTTGCTCCACAAAACGGGAAAAAATGATGATGATGATGATGATGACGACGCAAAGTTTGGATCTAGTGGCACCTTAAGGGAGCATCGGGAGCAGTTAGAGAAGAGTCACGGGAAACACAGCCTTCGGAAGAAGAATCGGCAGTGTGCGTCTAGGCTAATGATGATAAGAATCTAGATGAGTTGGCATGTCATATGTACAGATCCTTTGTATTTCCTATAACTGCTGTTATTTTCAATTTACAGAATCCTACCTTCATCCCAACATAACTAGAACCCTTATGTCCGTTGAGTAGCGCGGTTGGAACTCTTCCTGTTTCACCAGAATAACCTCTTGACTTCCAGGAAGGTCAGAATTATTCATAAGTATTTCGGGCCACTTCCAACAGTTGTTGAAGTATAGAACCTTGGTTATCTATGCTGTTGTTAGATTTCACTAATGTGCCAGTCGACGAAGCCCTACAAATGATCAGAAATTAGCTCCATAATCACAACACATTGGCGGAACGATCTGTCTTGCAGGTCGAAGCCATCACGGTGCTGCTGGAAGTATTTCAAGGTGGGTGAGAAGTTATTCAGAAAGAAAGTTCTCTGTCACCTATCGTTAGCAGCATCTACATGGAGCATTTTGAGAAATTGCTTCTTGACTCGGCACAAAACAAACCATCACTGTGGCTCCGGTATTTGGCCTGGTCACACAGTCCAGAGCAGTTACAGGAACTCCTCAGCCACCTCAGTAGTTTAAGCCCTTCCATCCACTTCACTATGAAAATTGAGTGAAAAATTCGATTCCTTTTCTGGGTGTTCTTCTAATCAGGAAAATGACGACATAGGCCACCAACATTTACAGGTAACCCAATCACATTTGTCAATCCCTCAACTTGAAATCTAACTTACCGACATATGAGAAGCAATGCGTAATTCAAAGCTTTCACAAGAGAGCTTCCACCTTATGCCAAGAACGACAAGATATATGTAATGAAATTAGTAGCCTGAGACGTGACCTCCATTTCAACGTTTATCTCAAATGATTCATTGACATGGTTATTAATTCCAAGTGTACCATTCATCTGAACAAACATGTAAAGCTTCTGGGCTATTTGTATATCGTATATGTGAAGGGTGTTCCACAGAAGTTCAAACGTATAAGGAATCCATTTAATATTAGGATGTTCTTCTAATCTAACCAAATACTTAAGAGTATATGCATGAAAACAAGGAGGGAAAGGAAAGTGCAACAGACGGCACTATTCGTCACCAGCCTTCCCTGTGAATATAGCAGAAACTATCGTGGGTCATTTCATAAATAATGCACAGGTTGGCACCACTGCGGATGGAGCAACAACAGTGAGTCTCACGTCAGTTACAGTTCAGGGCTTGAGAAAGAAACGCGTTATTTTGTTTCATTTATAATATACTCTGTTCTTAAATAACGTGAGTTAGAAATGGAGCCTGCACGGTTCTCGGGTATTGTGACTGTTGAAGATCAAAAGTCGTACATTAAGATCGAAACTTTACGTGAAAAAAACCCGACAGAAATCCACAGCTGATATCACCGGAGCTGAAATCACAGTCCAACGAGTGGACGACCAAAAAAATTTCGACGGTCTCAATCAAAAGTCAAACAAATGGTGATCTTTGCTTATGATCACCAAGGAATCATCATGACAAGCAGAATTCCGTGCGGGAAAATTGTCACAGCAGTTTATTATCATGACTTTATGCAAAATCTGTGCAAAACATACACAAAAACCGACCTCAGTTGCTCGAGTCTGGGCCGATCATTCTCCATGACAACATTCGCCCGCACATCGGGAATGTCGTAACAGAAAAGCTGCTCCAATACGGTTGGGAGGTGTTGCCTCATGCTCCCTACAGCCCGGACATGAGTCCACCAGACTTCGACTTATTCCCAAAATTGAACCAACCTATGCGAGGCCGTTGTTTTCCCTCTCTGGAAGAGCTTTCTGCTGCAGTACCCGAGCCTTCGACAGATAAACAAAGATGGTGTCCTGGATGGAATAGCAAAGCTTCCCACAAGTTGGGACTCGGTCATTGAGAAGCAGGGGGATTACATTGAAGGACTGTAAAGAGATATTAAAAAAAATAAACATGGACATAAACAAAAACTTGTGTGCTTTATTTCTGAAATGACCTACGTACATTGGCGAAGCAGGCACAAGTCTAGCGTTGCGGCTCCGAGGTCATAGGCCTAACTTCAAAGACGGTCTTCTATAAAAATCAGAACTAACTAAACGTACCTATGTGTAGGTTGGGATGAAGCTAGGATTTTGGAAATCGAAAGTAACAGCAGATATAATATTATATTTAAGCATCCTCTTGCATTGAGTTACCAATTATAGTCCATTAAATGTTCCGTCCATAATGCAACAATCGATAATATTGATTCAAAATTTAATCCATACAGTGGAAGTTATGTGCATAAGGTGTTATATAAAACTATTAAAATATATATGAATTATTATAATACTACATGTTTCGACCATACAATGCCATCTTCAGGCAACACTTACGTGAGGAATCCTAATGCATTAAGCACTAACCGAATATAATTCCTTTTATTATTTTCATTTCTTCTTCGATGTTTTCTTCTTCGTGTTTTTTTTTTTCTTTTTTGTAGTGCTGTTGTTCCTCTGTCATGCATAACACATGCTTAACTAATACAGTTCTGCTTTAAATTTTGGTTATATTACCTTGTGTATCTATGTATTGTATTTCTGTACTTAACGTATTTCCCTGGTGTGCTCTTGATTCTATTTATCAATTGTGCCTTTGCGTTCACTGTATTGATTTTTGGTATGATTGCTTACGCTTATATATCGTTGTACGTATCGAGCGTGCTGTTACCTATCGTAAAGCTCATGCAGTGTTTGGAATATGGCGTTGTGCACTTCGATCTCTATATCATTCATATGTAAATTATTTCTGCCAATTTTATAAGTGTCGTAATTTTCTCTAGGTTGTTCAATTATACCTTTCCTTCCTGTCGTTATGACGTCCATCGTACCGGTTATTGTGCCGTATGTGTGTCCTGTGACCTACGACAGTGACTGAGATTACCTCATTATGAAGGAGCCAACAGATTAAGCGTCTCTTTCCTACCTGTGGACGAAATAAAAAAATAGATCCAGTTTCCGAAACGTTGTGTTCTCCAGTGTTTAGAATACCGGACAATGGAGAAAGATGAAAACCCAGTATATCTCATTCCTCCTTTTATATTTAAGTGACTGTATCTGTGGTCTAGTGGTCAGAGTATCTGCCTACAGATACAGACGTTCGGGTTCGATTCCCGGCGCTTCCAAATTTTCTGAAAAGTAGCGGGTCTGGAACGGGGTCCATTCAGCCTTATGAAGATAATCGATGAACTATTTCATGGAAATAGCGACTCCGGTGTAGAAAACTGAAATTAACGGCCGTAGGGATTCGTTGCGACACCCTCTATCCGCAAAAGTTGGCACTAACATCGTCGACAAACGGCGGTCGCTCGGTGGGTATAGTTCGCTTGAGGACTGAAACTACGGAGTTCGTGACTGTGCTAATTGGGATTTCCAAGTACTATGGTTTTTAAAATCGATGCTAATCAGTGGCGGCTCGTAGCTAAAATTAGTGGGGGTGCTGCTCCAGAAAATTTGTAGCCTTTGTTTAAAGTTGTATAAAAGGAAACAAACATGTATAAAAAGAAAATTTATTCAGAAAATTGATAAAATCCTAAAAGAATAAAATCAAATACTTTTTACTTACTTTAACTTAAATTGTTACAGTTCAAGCTTAATCTATTCATTTAAAAATGAAATCCATTCTTCTTTTTTTTAATTTGCGCGAAAAGATTAATACTTTCCATCTTGATCTCTGGATGACAACTGAGGAAATTTTTCTCCATTGAAAGCACTGCAAGCGCATTTAGTCTTTCCGAATTCATAGTGCTTCTTAGAAAAGTTTTTATTCTTTTCAGTGTTGAAAAGCTGCGCTCTGCCTCTGATGTGGTCATGGGAACTGTCAAGAGGATTTTTATCAGTTTCGTAATTTCACTAAAAGCATCATCTAGATTATTTTCCAAGATAAATTTCAGCAGCTCAATTAATGTGCAATATTCATGAATATCGGACCTACAATAGAATAATTTTAGTTCAGTTTCAAGCTTTTCTTTGTCAGTCATGGGATATGCTTCAGTGGTCAGTACTATCTCTTCTGTGGGACATTCATTCTTACAAGTAAAACTAGTGAAGCATTTCTTGTTGAACAATTTAGCAGCTACTAAGTGTTTAGTGGAAGAATATCTGTCCATTATATCAACACATATACAGTCACACACTTCCTTAGCTTCTGCCATGAGTGTCTTTGAAGGATTCTCACAGTACTGTGAGTTTCTCAATTCTAAAGTAGCAGTTTTGAAATCTGTTATATATTCATCAACTTTAAACATACTAATTTCTCGAGATTGCATTTTGTTGTAAATTATTTTAACATGAGGCATAATCTGATGAAAAAGCTCTAACCAAAACTTCAAATTATCATCATTCAGGTATTTCAAAATTCCTGTTGCTTCTGCAATGGTTTGATCTGCATTTGATGTTGACTGAATTTCAGTAAGGCAGTTTATTAAAGGTTGCAAATTTTCATGAACTCTGTTTATGGTCCGTATGTTGAAGTTCCAACTTGTAGAAGATGGATATGGAATGCCGACTTTCATATGCTTCTTGAGAATGGACACAGGTTGCGGTGATCTTGAGAAGAATGTTGGAATAGCCAGAATGTTAGAGAAAAATATTCTTGCGTTTCATGTAATACTTGCTGCATTTCTCATTATTAAATTAAATTGATGTGCATAACAGTGAATGAAATGTGCATTACTATAAACTGCTTTTATTTTTGCTTGAACTCCTGCTTTTTTTGCCTTTCATGACATTTGCACCATCAAATGTCTGAGCTATCAGTTTTTGTCCTTTTCCTTGAAGGATTATGTCCAATTGTTCTAAAATACGTTTTGATATGCCATCTGTAGTTTGATTTTCTGAAATAAAGAATCCCCCAAAACGCTCAAACATTTCTCCATTCAATATGTACCATAGAACAAGGACCATTTGAGTGTGTTCTGAAACATCTGTTGTGTCATCAGCAATGACAGCTACAAAGGAAGCCTTCCTAATTTCCGTCCTTATCTCCTCAGGGTATATTTGTAGCAGGTAGTCAAGTATCTCATTCTGAATGGTCTTAGAAACACCTTTGAAGACTGCACTGGTTTCTAAGTGATGCTTCAAATCTGAATCTAATTTAGATGCAAAATTTACTAATCCTCTAAATACCTCTGGATTTATTGAATCGTCTTTTTCATCATGTCCACGTAAGGGAGTTTCAAAGTTTCCACAAAAGAAAATGCAGTCTATTATTTTGGACAAAATTTCACGCTATTTTTAACCTTTATATTATGCTCATTGATTGAAAGTCTGTATGCCTCACTAAGTTTCTCCTTAATACTTACGGTTCCTAAAAGTGACAGTGAAACTACATTATCAACGTGCTTCTTTGACTTCTCGTGCTTTTCAGGGTTTTCTTTCATTTTGTTTATATTTCTAAAACCATCTTTTGTCCACGTTACATTACCTCCAAACAGCAAACACGGGAAGCAAAACAGTGCATTTTTTACTTCCCAGCCGCAAAGCCAACTTTTCCGTTTGTACAATTCAGAAATAAAGCTTGCTTATACCTGGCTGAGATATTAGAATATCAGGTGTTAAACGACCTCTTTTCTTAACTGCAACTTTCTCATGGAGAGACAGTTGTGAAAACTTCAGCTGCTGAATTTCACTTACAGACACAGAACCTATTTCCCGGGGATGCAAGGCCATGGTTAAAGTTTTCTGTTAAATAAAAGAACCGAAAAAAATGAATCAAAAGAATAGCTGGAAGCAGGATATCAATCTAATTATACAATTAACTCACATTCAAGAATATGGTACACGGTTTTTAAGCACAACACACACGGAGTAAAAAAAAAGAAACTACCTTCAACCAGCACGCCAGGGTCGGCACTGCGGGAATGACAGTGCTCTCTCTCCCTTGCAGCCTCGCGTGCAGCTTCCTATGTGCGCATGCGCACAACAGACAACAGTCAACAAACACCTCGCCTCGCCGCTGGAAATGTGAAGCGCACAGTTCCATACAGAGATTTGGCTACTGACATTAAGCTTAAGGATTATATATTGTACTGTACAAGTATAAAGAAAGAATTAAAGAGAAAAGGACTCATTATATAAATGCTATCGATAATATCAAGTGGAAATTGGGGGTGCTGCAGTTCCACAGTGCCTATACGCTGGCCGCCCCTGATGCTAATAACAAATTACTATTCCTATTGCTACTACTATTGCTCTTGCAACTGCTTCTTCTACTTCTGTTAAGGTACTACTGTGAAGAGGATGGGTTTGGAACACATCCTTAGCAGATTTTGGAATTGCGTTCAGAGTTTTCCCTTCTGCCATATGGTTAATACAATTGCAACCATTCCTAGTTTGAAATTTCAGATAAATCTTATTCTGGTCACAATTCAGGAACTTTATACTCGTATAATGTTGTGGATATATCTCAGGTTCTTTTCTTATGTCGACTGAAGTGCTGAAAACTATGCAAATAAAAGTATGGGCCCTTGATATACTATCTGTCCTCTCTAACATCTGTGCTGGATCAGAGTATTTCTCAAACTTGAAGTACATTCACAATTGCACCTGGATCTCTAAATAATATTCATGTACTTATACGGCAGAAACATCGAGGATTTGAGTCATCGATCGTGACATATAAGTTTAGAGACAGTAAGTACCTCTCGAACAGCAGGGCCTGATGGGAGTGAAAGAGGAACGACTAATGAGACAAGACAATGGAAGAAGCACACATATACCGAGGGCTGTAAAATTTGAAAATTTTAAAAGTAGAAAAAATCCAATGAAACGATTTTTTCAAGAGCGTAAAATGTCTGCGCACAAGCACAAACCAAACCACAGAAATACAGAGCTTCCTGTCACGTGATTCCAAATATATTCACGGGTATTCGGTTGTACTGCAGGGCTTTGAATGTTAGAAGGAGAAACTGAATGTAATGGGAGGATAGCGCATAAAGACACTCCTTCCATTTGCCAAATTTCTGTGCTGGCGAGGGCGAACTGTGAATCACAAGGACCATGAAAAGGGATTCACGAAACTCTTAAATAACTAGTCACCCTGAAAGAATCGTTAAATAATTTAAAGTAACAAGCTAGCGAGAGTGCGCGCGTTTATCAGAGGTAATGGCTCATTCCGTTATTGGCAGTTAAAGCAGCAATCTGTGAGGAATATTGGGCCGGATCAGCGGTGTTGCCAAGTTCCCTCCTTAAGTGAACGCACTGTATAATGCGGTGTGCTCGAAAATAACACAGATATATACTCACCGCTTTTCAGAACTTTCTGACAATCAAATATAATACAAATCTCTTCAAGATTCAGAAGCCAAAGTACGAGTATACGTGACGAATCAAATGATGGTGTATTTTTTTTATTGCTAGTGGGGTGGGACTAAGTCCCTTGTACTGCGGCCACTTCTGGCCTATTGTACCAGCCCCAGAAGATAGGTGAGTGTGTGATTGTGGAGCAATTGGTGGAATGAAGATTGGCAGAGGAAGCCGAAGTACTCGGAGAAAACCTGCCCCAGCTCCACTTTGTCCACCACAAATCCCACTTGACCAGACCTGGGATCGAAACCGGTCCGCCGGGGTGCGAAGCCAGCGGCTAACCGCTTGAGCTATGGCGCGGCCAATTGATGGTGTAAGTTCAACCCTGTGTGTGGCACGTCTTGCAGCTATGGGTTTCTGTTTACGAAATTCCATAAAGTATTGTCACGTTTTGGGTATATGTCACGCGACAAATAACACGCTATTTAGGATCTAGCGAATTTATTCCATATTCGCTCGTACACTTATACAATTCGCAATTACAAGTACTGCCATCAGCAGTATCACAATTACATCCGTTGCTCTCGGCGTCTGCTAGACTTCTGCACTCGGCGACTTCACAATTCGCACTGTGTCACTTCTAATCACACACTTCAGTCTTCACTTCAATAATCGCTTCACTCAATGAGGTCCGAAGAAATTGCGGCGTGTTTAATTCCGTAACACTTCTGACACCAGTGTAACGTGTTTTGCTACTGAAGAAAACGTTCGGATTGTTAATTGGTTTATTTAGCATCCTACAAGTCGTAGCTACAATTAATTATAACACTGATGCGGTTTTACACAATTTTCAAACCCTACACACTATTCTATTCACTCTATCCTCAGTAGTCTTCACGTATTTATAACGTGGAAGCTATACAAATCTGTGAATTACACACTCCCAATATAATTGTGCTACAGCGCACACAAAGTCTCGAAAGCACACAATAAGTCTTCACTGGCTGACTTCTTAGT